TTCGAGAGGCGTTGTTCGACTGCGCGCCCGCACGTTCGTCGCAGGATAGCGAGCGCTGGGTCCGAGGACTCGGCGGGTCGCTCGATCGATGATCGATCGCCCCGATTTACCTGGGAGGGCCACGACTCGCGCCCTTATTAATCGATCGAATAATTGCGAGGGAAGACGACGCGTCGTAGGCCGTTGGCTCGGCCTTCGTTCGATATTCAAAATGAAGACCGCGTGAGACGTTGACAGCTGCAGCTTCCATAAACCGTGGGAGTTTGGCTAATTAGCGCGGGGGCCGATTGGACCATTCGTCCGTTCGCTTCTTATTGACGAGTCGGGGATGTCGACGACGAGCCTCTCGACTCTCAATTCTCTTAATTCCACCGATAACTCATGTCCTTTTCTATTGGTTTTTTTAGCCTGGCCGCGGCTCGTCGTTATTGCGCATATGTCTCGGCTTCTTCGCTCGAATTGCCTTACGTTTTGTTGTGGCCTCGCGAGCTCTCGATTTGACACGCCCGCCGATTCGCCTTTATTACCCTTTATTATCCTCGATGCACTCGATACTTTTAAAATGCGCGGTAATTGGCAATATGTTTTTTTTGGTAAAAGCGCGATCGAATGAATGATGGGGAAGGATGTAGTGTTTGTCGATGAGGAGCCGGTGGTGTTGTTTCTAGATAGAGAACAAGGATACCTGGATGGGTAATTGAATTTGGCGGGGAATAGACGAAGCGTTAGTAGCTAATTAAGCGTAACGGAAATAATTTCGATTATTACGTAAGCTTATTGGTTGTTGGTGTCTGTCTGTCTGTCTGTCTGTCAAAGCGCTCGTGTGTGACATTCCGCATCCTGCATCAGTGCGTAAGTACGCGCGCGCGTGTGTGTGTGTGTGTCTCTCTCTCTCTCTCTCTCTCTCTGTGTGTGTGTGTGTGTGTGTGTGTGTGTCTGTCTGCGTATGCGTATGTCGTACGCTGTCGGGCAAAGTATTGTCGAAATTTAATTTTCTAGGGCGAGCGAAGGTTCTTTTATGTAGGCATTGTCACGGTGTTGCTCGTCGAGAGTGGAAAACCATTGTACGGCAAAAGACACGAATGCCTATGTAATTGAATTACGTTCGCGGCACAGGCTTTATTATTATTACAACGTAGATTACTCGTGGATTTGCCCGTGCCCGACAAATTTCTCCCACACAGTCAACGTGTGCGTGCGCATTCTACGGGAACGCGCGGGCGCGCTCGCGCGCTCGTACATACGTGCTGCCGTCGGCGTCCGTCTGTTTTTGGAATGGATGGATGGATGGATGGATGGATGAGTGGGTGGGTCCGCGTAGTACGCGTGCACGTATAGTAGGCACGTGTGTAGTGGTGGGGTATGACTGGATTTAGGGAGACAGGCGCAGGCATAGGCCAATGCAACGCGGAGGTAGCGGCGGGCGACTTTTCGCCTTCTTAAGACGAGCGAAGCGAACATGTTTTCTCTTCAGCATCAGCACCACCTGCACCGTGAGCAAGCGGAGTTGGCAGCGAGCACGAACGTCAGAGCTACGCATGCGCCCACTTTACTCGACGACTTTGAGGTCGATACCACGAGCGGGGAGACGCGCACGACGAAATAGGCTTACAACGTGTACTACCATTTTACACAACTTTCATCTACTATCTTTACCAAAATCGCCTAGCGCCTCGCGTCACGAGCATCTCTCGTTAAATCGCATTTTTCTATTCCCCTCCCGCCCTTCTTTAACACACAAACACACGCACGCGCGCGCGCGCACGCACACGGGCGTTAAGACCGGGCAATAATTTTGCAGGCACGATACCGATACGATTATCTCGCGGGTCTCTGGCTAGTTTGACGTGGAATCGAACTCGTTGATACGTATGTGGTACTGCACGCGCTCTATTATTGATTATTAAGCTTATAAACAATCGAGAGAACGGACGGATTTGTTACGATAACGGGCGAGAGCAGCCAATTATTATTAATAATAATGATAATGATAATGATAATAATGATAATGATAATGATAATGATAATAATAATACCCTATGTGCTATATGCTATCGCAAGCCAAATAATAATAGTGTTGCGAAAATGCTTAATGTTTAATAATGTTTCGTGGGTGCCTTTCTGAAGGCCTGGGGTGGCGGTGTGGAAAAGGACAATGCTAGGAGGACGACAACAAGCTCAAGATAACCGAAAGATCTAATGTAGATATCAGCGTCACTCGTATGTTCGCTAGGGATCAGGAAAGCAGATGGACGATGGACGTACGAAAGAGGTAGAATGCCTAGTTCAGCTTCATTACACGAAGCTCTTCTTCAATATATACTCGCGCCTCGTGACCCTAATCTTATTTATTAGTGAGGCAAAAGAGCAAGTAATATCGTGCAATGATATTTTACAGCTTTGAAATAATATTTCCTTATTATTGAACTCGCGATGATGAAATAACGCGATGCTGCCTGCTTAACTGAATGTACTTGGTAAGTATATTGGAAAAGACGAAATTCCAATGGTACGACGAGATTGGATGAAAGATAGTTATTTTACCATCAATATACATGAATGACGACGGTATTTTGTTTTTCGTTTTATTTGTTTTTTGTTTTTTTGTTTTGTTTTGTTTTTTTTTTTGTTTTTTTTTTGTTTGGTTTTCTTTGTATGTTTTTGGTTTTTTGTTTTGCATAAAAGTAGCATAGCCGTAAATTCCGTGTAAAAGATGTAAAGTAACGCAATAAATCTTATTCTATTGTAAATGAGATTATTATTATTATTCAGAGTAAATTAAAGAACGATGGCGCATTTTCGGTCGAAGATAAAATAAGAAACTATCAAATAAAAGTTGCTATTTTGTTTATTTCTCGTGCCAATAAATACAATCGATCGTGCAATTTCTTTTTTGCCTTATTTCTTATTTCTTTTGTTTTTAACTATCTGCAGTTGAAACAATTACTTTCATGTCAAATTACTTGCTCAATGTCATATCGCTGTTATCAGCATATAATGGAATTTTACATAATTGTAATGCCAAAGTAGGCGGAAAGTTGTTTTTTGTTGTTTGTTTTTACAAATAACTTTTACAGTTGTGTAAGAATGTTTATTTTCCAAAAATTGCTTTGCTCTTGGAAATTGAAATACCCTACGATCGTTTTAGTTTGTACTTCGTTCTTAAATATTTCATTAATGAAATGTGCAAATTTTAATGAAAATTGACCAATTCATGGGAATAATGATAGTTTTTGTCCAAATAAAATACTCGCACATTAATATTACAAATACTACTCGATAAATGTATAATTTAATATATCTACGATGCGATAAATATAATAAAAAATAAATAAATAATATGGGAATATAAACAGAATGTTTATTAAAAAGACATCTGTTAATTTTGCTTTATGAGCATCAAATACCTAAAGCATGTAAATTTCCAATGTATACACATAAAAAAAAAAGAAAAAAAGGAAAAATTATAATTTTTAATAATACATTAACAATAATTTCAGGGACAGATTTTTCTTAAATACCTCATTAACGATATCTTATTAATTAGTCATTGAAAAAACTGAAATTCTTTTACGATAAAACTTTACACAATCTGTACTATTAGATGCAACAAAGGCCAATATTCTTTTGAAATATAGAAAGAAATTCTTTTTAAAACAATATTGTTAGGCTACTATTACTATTCGAATGTCTAAAGTTATTTGCATACGTAGAGAATATTCATTCGAAAAAAAAAAAAAAAAAAAAAATGAAAAAAAAAATGAAAAAAAGTGGAAATAAATTTTTTAAAGTAGAAGATTATACATTCTTTTGTTATACGCTCTATTTATGCTTTTATTTCTATTTTTATTTTTGTATTATATTGTCGACAAAATTCCGTACAAATTTGAAGAAAAATTGTATTTTAAAATTTATTATCAATATTGATGATTATTAATAGAAAGTTATGCTTAACTTATATAATTATATTTACTTTTGATATATTTAAATGGATGTTTAAAACAAATTGAATAGATTAAGTATTTATTATTAAAGTATTTTTTATTAAAACTTATTATTTATATTATTTATATATTGCGATGCTAAGGCAACAGAAATTATTTTAATATAAGAAGAGTCAATCATTTGATTTGATATAAAGTTACGATACTAATGATTTTTAATATATATATTTATTTTCGAAGCCTCACAATTGTAAATTATATAACAAGAAATCAAATGAATTGAACTTAATATTTTATAATTATATAATCGTATTTAAAGAACAATGTATCACTATAAATACATAACTAAATATAATAATAATTATTATCATTATTATTAATATTACTTAATAGAATACATTATTATTACAATATAATCATTAACTAGGTGATACTCAAGAGACTCTAAGAAATTCAAATAGAAAGAGTTGAATAATCACACTTTTAAATATCACGTATTTGCTATACCTATTGCCTATTATAATCAATCCAGCATTTTTATTTTTAAATTTCACATACAACATAACTTACGTTTATCCTATTCAACGCGCATATTCTTATGAAATGTTGAATAACTCTCTACTTTCGCACATACTCTTTAAAATAGAAAAAACGATTGTACTTATCGTTATTTATCCGTTTACTCGTCATAATTTACCCACTTACCATCGCTACCAGCTAATAATTAAAACAATGTCCAATGTCTCGAAACACGAAATAATATAAATATAATAATTATTCAAGGTAAAAACAAAAAAAAAAAAAAAAAAAAAAAAAAACAAAAAAAAAATAAAACCCCTCGTCTTACCACATATACAAGTGACTGACGCATTATCTTGTCGAAGCTAAAACTACAACCACTCTTGCAGTTATTAATATTATAAAAATTCATAAGCTAATCGGTCATTTAGTTCATCTAACAATTTACAACGGCAGCTGGAGCATATTGAAGTTTGTGGCGACATCTCGCGGAATTGACGAAACACTGTCGAAAAGCAGTATATCGACTATAGTTATGCGTTCGTCGATCATAGTGTGCGTGGAAAGTCGTGGGAATAGGAAATCGCGGCAGGTAGAGGAGCGTCCCACCGGTATGTATTTTTATTAAGTGTTTTAGTATAAATATTTTGACCTTTTGTTATAATAATGGTTTTTAAGTAAATTGATAATGTTGTATCGATGCTCGTCGAGGTCAAAATTTTATTAGCGCATTAGCACGTATGAAATAGTATGCTGAAGTAGTTGAGAGCTGTTGAAAGATGAAAATGTTTTTGTAGGTTATTTGAATGAAAATAAAATATGCTTTTATGTATGTTGTGCAGTTAGCTTTGTGATTTTGTAACGACAATGGATCCGGATTTTTATGACGAGTTTGGAAATTATATTGGGCCTGAATTGGCGTCCGATAGCGAAGATGAAAACGACTATGGGAATGCCGGTGACGACACCGAGGACAGAGATCGATCGGATGATGATTTGGATGAAGATAAAGATGAGAATAGAGAAAATATGGATACGAACACAATGGCAGTTGTGCTTCACGAAGACAAAAGGTATTATCCCAGTGCGTTGGAGGTTTATGGACCCGATGTAAGTATATAAAATTAACTAAGCTTTGGATCGGATAGTTGGTATTTATCAGAATGTCTCATTATAATATGGGATGTCTTTAGGTGGAGACGTTGGTTCAAGAGGAAGATGCTCAGCCTCTTGATAAACCGTTAATCGTACCAACGAGGAAAGCTAAGTTTCAAATTAAACAGCAGCAGCTGCCGGAGACAACTTATAGCATCGATTATCTCGCCGATTTGATGGACTGTCCCGATTTGATACGCAATGTTGTATTATTGGGACATTTGCATCATGGTAAGACTACACTGGTAGATTGTCTAATTCGACAGACTCATCCTTACATGCACTCGGTTACGGACGAAAAGCCCTTGAGGTTGGAATTTTCATATAATTTTTTTCACAACCGCCTTACTTTGTACTTAATGTTATTTAAATGCTTCGCTCCAGGTACACTGACACATTGTTCACAGAACAACAGCGAGGTGTTTCTACCAAAGCTGTTCCAGTTACGCTTGTCTTACCTGACGTCAAGTCCAAATCTTATCTTCTAAATGTTTTTGATACGCCAGGGCACGTCAATTTTTCTGACGAGGCTACCGCAGCGATTCGTATATCGGACGGTGCGGTTTTAATGGTCGACGCTGCGGAAGGTGTCATGTTAAATACGGAAAGACTGTTGAAACACGCCTTGCAGGAAAAGTTGGCATTGACAGTCTGCATCAATAAAATCGATAGACTTGTACTGGAGCTAAAGTTACCCCCTCTCGATGCCTACTATAAATTACGTCATATTATCGAGGAAGTAAATAGTTTGATAGCCCTTCATTCGGATATGGAGAATCCTGCATTTGTTTCGCCAGCTTGTGGCAATGTTTGCTTCGCAAGTTCGGAATATAACGTTTGCTTCACGTTGAAGTCATTTGCCGCACTTTATGCCAAAGATTATCCAGGATTAAATGTAAACGAGTTTGCCAAAAGGTTATGGGGAGACGTATACTTCAATTCTAAGACACGAAAGTTTACGAAAAAACCGCCTCACAATACAGCTCAACGAAGCTTCATCGAATTTATTTTGGAGCCACTGTATAAAATATTTGCTCAAGTTGTTGGTGATGTCGATACTACTTTGCCCGAAGGTGAACTAATTTGACCGTTTTGACATTAAAAATTCTTAACTTAATTTCGATAATTTAATAATAATAATAATAATAATAATAATAATAATAATAATAATAATAATAATAATAATATGCTTAGTATTGGATGAGCTTGGAATTCATTTAACATCCGAGGAAATGAAAATGAATATCAGACCATTGCTTAGATTGGTGTGCACCAGATTTTTGGGAGACATGTGCGGATTTGTTGATATGTGTGTTACTCACGTACCCAATCCCAAGACCAATGCTTTAACAAAAGTATCGCACATATATACAGGCCCAACGGAATCTTCGTTAGCCCAAGATATGATAGATTGTAATCCTGACGTAAGTTTATTAATGCTTCTTTCACAGACATTTATAAACCATGTAACTCATTCCTTGAATAATCACGCTTCGTGGAAAATAAAAGAACTCTTAAGCCATCTGATCTGCTTAAACTTAGAGTTAGTACTCATTAGGGTTGCATTTTATACTAATACTTGTATTTCAAAATACTGAACCTATCGTCGCTTAAAAACGTTAAATTCTTTTAAATTCAAATATGTCATTATCGAGTATATAGTGAACATAATCGAGTAAAGGAAATCAATTTAATAAATGAAATATTTTCAAAGTGTTAATCAATTTGATCATGGATATAGAATTTTTTAATGCTATGCAATAACAGCGTGGCTAACGTTAATATCCGTTCATAAATATATTACGAGAAGAATATATTTAAGACAAATGTTTAATTCAACCTCTATTTTACAAATATATACAGCCACGAATTAGAATTGATAATGTACGTTTTCCACGTTCCGTCTTTCCATCTTAGATTTCGGCGTTATTTAATCGTAATTTATAGAAAATTTTTACCGAGGCGTACGAGTTAGTTCCATGATCGCATCTGCCGCATATTCACATTATCAAATACAACGAAGGTTGTGTAATTGCAGGGTCGACTGATGATCCACAGCACAAAAATGTACCCGACCGAGGACTGCACGTTGTTCGTCGTTCTCGGAAGAGTCATGTCGGGGACGTTGAGCGCTGGTGAGAGGGTACGAGTTCTGGGCGAGGCATACACACGTCAGGATGAGGAGGACTCCCGGATCTTGACTGCCGGCCGACTGTGGATAAGCGAGGCTCGCTACAATATTGAGTTGAGCATGGTACCAGCTGGCAATTGGGTGCTAATCGAGGGTATCGACCGGTCGATCGTCAAGACAAGCACGATAACGGATCTTACGGACTCGGATGATCTCCACATCTTCCGGCCCCTGAAATTTAACACCCAGAGCGTTATCAAGATCGCGGTAGAGCCCGTGAATCCCTCGGAGCTGCCCAAGATGCTGGACGGATTGCGCAAAGTAAACAAGAGCTATCCTCTACTGGGGACCAGGGTCGAGGAGAGTGGTGAACACGTTGTCCTGGGTACCGGGGAGCTTTACCTCGACTGCGCGATGCACGATCTGCGTCGCATGTACTCGGAGATAGACATCAAAGTGGCCGACCCTGTGGTGGCATTCGCGGAGACCGTGGTCGAGACGAGCTCCCTTAAGTGTTTCGCCGAGACCCCGAACAAGCGGAACAAGCTGACGATGATCGCCGAGCCCCTGGAGCGCGGTCTCGCGGAGGATATCGAGGCCGAGCAAGTGAAGATTACTTGGAACAAGTAAGTTCTCTTTGATTGTTCTCTTGGACGATTAGTGGTAGCTTCTACCTCACTCACCTTGTGCAATTTCACGCAACGAGTGCAGCCGTTTTGGCATTGCAAAGTGCATTGGCATTCATCTCATTGTCGATCGCCTTTTGATATCATCGTTACATTCATAATGTAATAAAGCGCATTATATCTGTTGGTATTTTAACGATATTTATGGGCATTCTATTTTAATAAAGAGTTGCCTCTCAAAGCCTAACTAACCGATGGCATAAAATAATAACGACGATTGTTTAACGAGTTAATCCGAGTGCTATTGTTCTTTAAAGTACGAAAGTATATTGTGAAAATGAGTGAATTATTTGGGATTTTGTCATTTACGTGGTAACAAATTATCCGCAGGAAAAAGCTTGGCGAATTTTTCCAACAAAAGTACGACTGGGATCTTCTAGCCGCTCGAAGTATTTGGGCTTTTGGACCGGATGCAACTGGTCCGAACATTTTGGTCGATGATACTTTGCCCTCGGAGGTAGATAAATCATTGTTGAACAGCGCTCGTGAAGCCATAATTCAAGGCTTCCAGTGGGGAACTCGAGAGGGACCGCTGTGCGAGGAACCCATTAGGAACGTCAAATTCAAAATTCTGGATGCCGTTATTGCTCAAGAACCCCTTCATCGCGGTGGTATATATGAAATTCTACTAATATTTCATTTTTGCACGAGTGCTTTTGACGTTTAATCCATACTTTCCGACACAATAACTATAACAGTCATAACGAGTTTAGTTTTCAATTTATCCAGCCAACTGTATGGATGGCAGATAATGACTTTACCGACAAATTCTAATCCGAGAATCTAACGAATGAGAGTGAGTCCAACAAACGGTCAATAATAAATTCGACGTTATTAATCCGTGGCGCGAAATTTCGAAGTACTTTTGTTTGTCATAATAATAATAACAACAACAACAACAATAACAACAACAATAATTATAGCCATTAAATTACACTACTAATTTTATTTGAACGACTACCCTATAGTATTAACTGCTTGTTGAACTGTAATCGTTTAGTTTTCATAAATAAACTCTGTTGTAACTAGAATAAAATTATATATATAATTGTTGAAGTCCAGCTACTCGTATGTCAACTATAATTAAATTTATTAATTATGTATTGTTCCGTAATACATTATACTCGAGCCGAGAGACTATATTATAAATATCATTGAAATATAAATTTTTCCCTTTTTCAAAATCTCTAGATGAATAATCTACATTATAATCTACGTAGAGTAGTCGTGTACAATGATTTTCCTACGAGTGAGATTACGCGATAAAGCAATAGACACCTCAAGTCGAAATGAAAAATGCCTGTTTGTCTCTATTTTTCTCTTCTTTTTTCTTCTTCTTTGGTATAAAAAAATAACGATTATTATTAATAATAGTAGACGCGTAGTAGGTTGCGAAATATTCGAACAAGGTATCAAATCAAGGAGAAATTAATTTGTTCATTAAGGCGGACAAATCATTCCTACGGCGAGGCGAGTAGCCTATTCGGCCTTCCTCATGGCGACTCCACGTCTCATGGAGCCCTACCTCTTCGTAGAGGTTCAAGCACCGGCTGACTGCGTCTCCGCCGTGTACACGGTGCTGGCCAAGCGTCGTGGTCACGTGACCCAGGACGCTCCAGTGCCAGGCAGTCCGCTCTACACCATCAAGGCCTTCATTCCAGCCATCGACAGCTTCGGCTTCGAGACCGATCTGAGAACACATACCCAGGGTCAAGCCTTCTGCCTCTCGGTCTTCCATCACTGGCAAATTGTGCCTGGCGACCCTCTCGACAAGAGCATCACCATCAGGCCTCTCGAGCCCCAGCCGGCGACGCACTTGGCCCGGGAGTTCATGCTCAAGACACGGAGAAGGAAAGGACTATCGGAGGACGTGTCGATCAACAAGTTCTTCGACGATCCTATGCTGCTCGAGCTCGCCCGCCAGGACGTACTTCTTAATTATCCGCTGTAAAATCGGCTGTAAGGACACCGTCCTTAACTGGCCTTCCGCTCTACCAATGATGTCGGAACTTTCGTGAATCCGGCACGCAATTACGTCGGGAGCCACCCACTCTCCTCTCATTACGACTGACATCCGCGGCCCCAATGACTTTCATTTAATGGTCTTATTTTATTCTGCAATCTGCGAGTGGCGAGAGAAGAGCAATTTCGAAGTGCGCGGACGAACGATTATTTCGTTCGACTTTTAGGATCGTAGGTTACCTATATTAACAGTTGCATCTCAATCGAGGAATCTCCGAGGCATTCTGATCGGTTATCCCAGATCGATATCATGCAACGAGATCCGAAGATTTACAGCCTAAAACGAAAAGATAATATTTTATTTGTCGTAACAAAATAATGAAATAATATTTAGCAAACACAGGAGGCATCTACCGAGGTATCTTAGTTAATTTGACACAATGTATTTGTAAAAAAAAAAACAAAAAAAAAAACAAAAAAAAACTGAAATAAAAAGAAATATAAGGAATGGTGCAAATTTTTTCTTTTCACACGAATGCGACACTCGTAGCGGATGTAAACCGATAGGAGTTGCATTTCCTTATCTCGTGAAATTCGTTCTTCATCGGCGTCTCACTCTTCGTCGTTCGAAGCGAAAGCACGTTGGACGCAGACCTATTTCCGCGGCGTAGTATAACCGGGAAAAGGAAAAAAAAGAAGAAGAGGACCCGAATTAAAAATACGAGGTCGTTAGAATTGCCGCGGCGTCATAAAAAAGAGCCTGGGAGCAATTAATCGCAGCGGCGAGTAATTTCTCGCTTGGCATGTTGGGGCCCTTGGCACACGTGGTCGTCGTTACCGAGATGTGTGTGTCGTTGTCGTCGTCGTCGTCGTCGTTACCTTCGTCGTTGTCGTTGTCGCCGCCGTCGGCGAAAGTCGTGACGTGCTTGTCACGCTTCTCCGAAATCTAAAATTGTCCGTTCGCCGCGCGGACTATGCAACAAAACCGGCGGAAATAAAAAAAATGAAGAGCTAACTTTTGGAGTTATGTGAGTCGGGGTTAGAGAGAAGGGGGGGGGGTGGAGGAGCAAAGAGGCGATAAAAAAACATAGTCGAGATTCCGGAAAACAGCGTGATTGCCAGTTTTTGGTCCAATTTCCGATATAAATGCAGGCGCGAGTTTTCTAAAACCTGTTTTGCATTTGGATTGTCACGAGTTCGTTGATAGTGACGACGGGTTAGATGGGGGAGGGGTGAAGAGAACAAAAGAATTCTCGTACTTTATGCCATTTCAAAATAATAAAATTTTTTTTTAATTTATTGACAAGTTTGTATATTAAGAAAGGATGAATTGCGCTTCACTAGGTATTGCAGTGAAAACAATTTTAGGCAAGGGATTGGGATAGGTAGATAAAATGTGAGATAGAAAGATAAGGAGAGAGAGAGAGAGAGAGAGAGAGAGAGAGAGAGAGATTCGTACTAGTAGTGGTAGTAGTAGTAGTAGTAGTAGTAGTGTGGTAGTAAGAACAGTAGTAGTAGTAGTAGTAGTAGTAGTAGTAGTAGTAGTAGTAGTAGTAGTGAGTTAGTAGGAACAGTAGTAGTAGTAGTAGGAGTAGTAGAGATTTTGGTGATTCATAGCAGGGGAATCTATTTGGCCATGGGTTGGCAGTGCAGTTTGCCCTTTTCTAATGCTATTATGGCAATAAAACAAAACGAGCAGTAAACACGTTTTACGATTTACATAATGAAACGGTTGAGCTCGTCGAAGGTGCGGAAGGAGCGAATATGATGATGACGGCGCTCGTAGCTTGGCGAGGCGAGGCCAGGGGAATATAGTATGTCAGCCAAAGGAACAACGATCCTGGGCTCGTTTGGCTCATGGATCGGGTCCTGGGGCGACTCTTTAGGATCGAGGGACGCACGCTCCCCGGCCTCGGCGAAATCGCTCCACGGAATCGATAGCCCTTCCCCGCCCCGTTCGTCTCTCGCCGCGTCATCCCCCCTCTTCAGATCCCGGCCCCGTCCCCGTCCCCTTGGCCAACGTTCATCGCGGGCCGGCATCCCGCTTGGATATCGACTTGGCGTAGGAGAGGACGAAGCGGGTGGGCGCTGCGGGAGTGGCACCCACACAGGCGCGCGTCGGTGCTGGTCGCGGGGGCGCTGCGAACGCCAGCGACGGGGAGAGCGCACCGAGCGAACTAAGCGAGCGGAGCCACGGCGCGGGCCAGTGTCGTAAACGCGCTCCAGTCGTGTGACACACTCTCGCCGAGGGCCAGTCCCCGACCTCGATCTTCTCGGGTAACAGCGCAGCTCCGCGAGTCGCAGTTATCGTGACCGCGTCCGGGAGCTCGTCTTTGGTGCGGAGGCTTGGCGTTGCTGCTCGTTGCGGCGAGGACGCGAGGCCGCTCCCGCGAAGCAATGTGCTAGGGCACGAACCGACGTGTTGTCGTAACGTCGCGCGTGTCCGCTCTTCTGTCTGGTTGTCGCCGTCGCTTGGAAGATCGCGAGCTCTCGGCTCTAGCCGCCGAGTCTAGCTGACTTCCCGGAGCAGCGCGAGCAGTGGCAAGAGCAACGGGAGTAGGAGGAAGAAGCAGGAGCGAGGCTGGGAAAATGTTGCCGTGGGCGAGTATCGTCCTCGTCGGCCTGTTGGCTGCCGTAGCAAGGGCCGACCTTAGGCTGCACCCGTCTGCGAGTACCGAGCAAGCAGGTGAGTGCCGTCGACTCTTCCCCGCGCTCCGAGTTTCTTTCTTTGTACATACTCCGGCCCCGTGTCTCTTCGTATCTCTCTCTCTCTCTCTCTCTCTCTCTCTCTCTCTCTCTCTATCTATCTATCTATCTATCTATCTATCTATCTATCTATCTATCTATCTATCTATCTATCTATCTATCTATCTATCTATCTATCTATCTATCTATCTATCTATCTATCTATCTATCTATCTATCTATGTATCTATCTACCTACCTACCTATATATATATATATATATATATATATATATATCTTGCTCTTCGCACCCTTTCTTACCTTCCTTTCTTTTCTCCTTTTCGCTGCGCAATCCTATCTGTCTCCTACGGACGAAACATTCGTGAATGCGAGAGAGCGAGAAAAAAGTCGCGTTATCATCTCGGTCCGTGTGCGCCTCGCGCTCTGTCTCACTCGTGTACTCTCTCTCGCTCGCGCGCACTCTCTCTTTCTCTCTCTCTCTCTCTCTCTCTCTCTCTCTCTCTCTCTTTCTCGTTTCACGACAGCCCCGTTTTTCTCCCTCTCGCTCCGCTCTACCTGTATACCTCGTTCACACTTGTGTGCTCACACACGAGCCTGGAGTCCGATCGCGAAAGTCTAGTGCGATCGATTTTTCCGCTTTAAGTCGCCAAGGGGACAAGGAGGGACGCGAGCTTTCTTCCTTTTCATCATCGACATCGACTTCTCTCGCCGCATACCTCGGCTTCTCCCTCCTTTACACTTAAATACCTAAGTCGCGCATCGTTTTTTTTTCTTCGCCTTCTCTTCGCCGTCTGCTCCCCCTCCCTATCCCCCCACCCCCGCCAGGTCCCCTTCACGGTATTCTGCTCCACCGTACCTCCGTGCCCCACGTCCCTCCTCCTTCACCTGTTCCGAGCGTTTACGAGTCTGCGCGCCCTTGTACGTGTGCATGCTTCTTTTTATTTTTTTCCGTTTGCCCTCTGCCTTCGATTTTTCGGTCAACTACACACGCGACTACTCTCCTTTATGCTCTCTTCGCTACCTACGTGCGAGGAGCGCGTGTGTAGGTGCGCGCTCGACGGCAGGTCGGCGAGCCGAGTCCTTTTGGAGCTTCTGGAAACCACTGCTGATGTGAAACGTCCGTTTCTTCCTCTCCACCTCCCCACCCCCCTCTCACTCACTCAGCTCAGACACTCACACTCTCACGCTCTCTCTCTCTCTCTCTCTCGCTCTCTCTCTCTCTCTCTCTCTCTCTCTCTCTCTG